GAACCCACAAAATAAATCTAGAAAGGAACTGCAACCTGTTTCCTAAACCTATTAAGTTACAAGCTGAGAAGGTCCTTTTAAAACATGAAAAGTCTAAACAAGTCTTTTCTTTTAGCTCACTGCCATTACAAGATGGAGCTTCTGTGCTTCATCTTGGGTGCAGGTCTGGGGACTGTTTCCTTTTGGGCATGAAGTGGTACCTTCATACCTTTACAGCTGAAAATCCCACGTATGTGAAGAAAATCTTACAAGTGTACATGGAAAGAACAGACAGATATAGCTATGTGCTGCCATTTGCAGCCTGTTTTGGGTGAACAAAGCCAGCTGTGGGCTTGCTACCCTTCAGACAGCCATTATATCCCAAGCAGAGTATATGAAAGTCTTGGATTAGCTTAGAAAGGAAAGAATTGCTGTGGATTTTAAGAAAATTCATCCATGTTTCACTTATTTCTGAATCTCAGGTTTAGCAACCGGTCCATCTTTGATAAACAGCCCATAGACAATATTCCTTGAATTTCTGAGCTCTGAGAATGCTCTTTCATCCTCCCATTTTCACTGGCAGCAAATTTGGATCCCAGCAATGATTTTGCATAGAAGCAAGGGTCCAGCTGATCCAAAGGGGGCCCTTTTCTGCCAGTGAACCACTTCCCATCTGTGCGTTAGGAACAGCCCAATTAGCACTGATAAAGTAACTGAGATAATGATAATAAAACCTGTGGAGACTAGAATTTTTTTGCTGTCCAGGGCTATAACTGGGGCATACTGTGAGTACCTCTCTTCTCAGTTCCTCATAGCCCTTGGTGTACTGCTACTCTGAACATATCCCCTGTACTCCTGGAGTGACTCAGTCCCTGCAGCTTGCCTGGGCTAGGCATCTGGGAAGAAGCAGAAGGAAATAAAACTATGCAATAAGGAGGGATTTGCTGACTGTGGAGATGAACTGAATCTAAAAAGAATTGAATTAAATTGGGACTGAACTAGCCTGATGCATGGGCATTCCAGGCATCCCCAGATTTCTTTCAGCATACCTTCCTGCACAGCAGCTGCACAACTCTGACTGATAAGCCCCTAAAAATAGTGGGTAGAAACAGGGAAACTCATTGTCTAGTGTCCCCTGAAAATATCATGAGGCAGCTCAGAGTGAAGAGCCTGGTGTCTACTTTCAGATTCCAGAAAATGGCCCTTTCTGGAGTGTGAGTTCAATCTGTAGGTTTTATTGTGAATCAGAGACCTCCAAGCTTATGGGGTGATCACAGTTTTGTTGCTGTATCATCATGATATCTTCATGGAGTAGTTCTCCAGTTCCTACTATTTTAAGGTTAAGGTTTTGTGGTCTTCAGACTGTCTTCCATCATCTGAAATCCCCAGTACATGCAATCTAAGCTGACAGCTCTTGATGAACCATCATTATATCTTGGCTGGATACCCAGCCTAGCGAATCATGAAGCTGCCAAATCTTTTTATTATGAACAATCTCTCAAACTTCAGTGAGAATAATGAAGAAGACAGAGCTAAAAATCCCTTCTTGGAAATGAGTAAATACCTCAAGCTCCACATTTGCCTTAAGCAAATCTTGTGAAATAGAGGTGCCATTTGGAAGTGCAGATTGAAATAAAAGCTTCCAAGTTTCTTCGTATTTTCTGTGAGGATAGGGAAAGTTGAAGTTGAAATGGGCTCTCTCCTGATACATTGTAGATGCCCCACAGACAGGCAGAGCTGCCTCTCCAAAGTAGATGCATATTGAATCACTTCTCCAAGGCCACCACAAGGATACGATTTCCACTCTCTACCTGAAGCCCAGGAACAAAATGCTTGACATTGAGTGTCAGATCTAGCCTGATGGGAAAATAACTGAGATTTGAACAAGTCAGCACCAAACTTCCCTGTGTTCTTAGGAAATTTCCACGCTGAACCCCTATTTCTACTTCCGCCATCTTCCATGGCAGGAAACTGGGTAGGCGGGAGAGGAATGGACTATCCCACGTAACAGGAAAGCCTGGTTAATACTGACTTGCTGGGATGTGTGATACAACTGTATCTGCATGGCTCCATGTGAAGCCTTTTTTGATTTAGCAGACCTTGTAGTAAACTGAAGGCTTTCAATCTGGTAGAACATGAGCAATGGAGTAACAGGTCTCTGTTCCATATCTCCAAGTGCTAGAATACAAAAAATGCATTGTAGGCACTGGGAGGGCTCTTGATGTTTCAAGCTGGACAATAAGCAACAGTAATACCAAGATGCCTTAATTAGAAAGGATGAAATATGTTTCTTTGCTGCTATCCCAGTGGTTCAGACAGACCGGTCTAGGAACTTGGCTCCATGATGCATAAAATATCAATACTGCTTTCTAGTTGGGTCGGCCCCAGAGGCAGAATTAGTGCTTCTGTCTGGCACTGCATCTGATCTAGTGGACCTTGGTGGATGGTACTGACTTGTACAAGTCATTTGTAAGTCAGACAATCGACCTGTGGGCAAAAAGGAGTTGACTACAGCTCTGTAGTCTGATGGCTTTCAAAGATTTTATTTGTGTTTGCAGGGCACTGTACTGAAGGGCTGACTCTTCATTGGACTACAGCTGTTCTGTCTAATGGAAGCATTACCTTTATCCACCAATTTGCTCTTGTGTTTTCAAGGCCTAAGACCTAAAAACCGGGATTCCTGTAGAATAAAGTGAGCATGTTTTAACTCTTCAGACAGGACTGAGGATTATCAGACTGTAAATATATGCAGTACACTGTATGGATATATTTCAGCTCAGAGCACACAGTATTTCACATTCCAGACCTGAATCGTGCTAGTGGTCACCTCAGACACTTGGTTTAGTTTCTGTTCCTGCTGGTCTGGTGTTCACCATGCAGCAATAAACACAATGGCACAAAATGTCACTGGAGTTTTGAATTTTACAGGGGACCATCAGGAAAAGAGAGAAAACAGATGTAAAATTGCCTCTACTTTTCTCACATGTAAAAAAAAAGCATACAACAAACGTGCATGTTAAAGCAACAAAGTTATTCCATGGGAATGGGAACAGAGAAGGCAACTACTCATCTGTTGACATAGTGTAAGAAGGTTACTGCTCACACAGATGTGTGTATCCACTTTCAGCAAAATCTGTGTTTGATTCACGTAAATAGGGGCCACAATCATGGCAATTTGTGCTAACACATTTGTTCTCACAAAGATTTGTACATCATCCTTCACGCGGGCATCCATGCAAACAAAACCACCATTCCCTACATGTAGCCACAGTAAACAGGGAAACAACCAACCAAACAACCAACACAATCTAAGCACAGACTGAACCAAACACAGACAGAACCAAAATGTGTAACTTGTGAAAACAGTCACAAATAATTTTTGTTCTCTCTTCATACAGTTCACAATCATGTCACCTTTTCATAAATTAAAAGAAAATACATTATCTGATTAATGTTTAAGATATACAAGGTAAGTTCTTGTTAACAATCCTGCTACTTATTTTTTATAGCTCTCAATTTAAAAAAAAAAAAAAAAAAAAAAAAAAATTACATCTGTTTAAATGTTTCTTTCTGACAGGAAACTAACATATTGGTGTGTAACCATATACATATATAAACGTACACACATATATATATATATACACATACATGCATTCACAACTAGATAGTCTTTTGTGATTTTGCATGTTCGTTATCTGTATTTGAAGAGAAATATTGTAAAAATAAGAGCAATCACTTTCACGTGGTTAATTATGGAGATTTCTTCAACTGTACTAAGTAACATTAACTTACATTAATCTTATTTACATTAATGCTAAATTTACTACATAATGTCAACTCCAATAACAGCAGGTAACTGAGCTGAAGAACACTATGTAATGTGAAATTGTGGGGAACAACATAAACAACTTATTTTACACTACAATAAAGTAAAAAAATCTTTTAATGGAAAATTAATTTTGTAAATTAAAATAGGTCTGACCTAAAATAATTTGTTTCCCAACAAATACTTTTTTCTTTGACCTGGTGTTTATTAATAGCATTTGCAAGTAACATATGACTGTGCTGTAGGAAAATATTAACTGATTCACAGCATTACAGACATGGAAATATCCACATATAACATACTGGAATTTAGCCAAGTAATTTCTTCTACAAAGTCTTCCATACAATCTATAATTCCTTGAACAGAATTTATTTTTGTACTTTCTCATCTGGTTATGTTATGTTCAGATAATAGAAGCTAAAATAATATTTTGATTTAATATATCTATGGCTATAAAGCTATTTTTTTCCTATAAGATGATATATCTGTGGAGCTCTATAAGGCAGCTCTACTTTGCTTTGAAATAATGGAGGATGCTTCAATACTGAATAAATTTGCTTTCTCAAAGAGCAATCTAAGCTTTGGTGTAGTTTTACACATTAAAAGAAATAAATCTTCAATTTAGTTTCCTAGTCTGTCTATTGCCTAAATAAATCCCTCTCTCTAGTACCAGTTATATTTAATAAACGGTAACAAGAGTTGTCAAGCACTAGATTTTGCATTTGTAAAAGGCAACAATCAGAGATAGCTCCTGAGTAATAATTTATTATTTTTTATTATTTATTTTTTATTATTTATTATTAAATTCTGGATTTCATGCATGAGCGCAACTGCTTTTTATTTAAGAGGAACTATATTAAAAATACTAAACTATTTAAAATTCATGTCTTCCATCAAGTTTTTATCGATATTTTTTCCAAATAGTATCTGTCGGATCATAGAATAAAGTCATTAAAATGCTTGATATTTCTAGTGGACCGAAATCCTACAGAAAATCTTTCATGGAAGAATTTGCAAATGTAAAGAACAATGTGACATATTAAAGTGGCGACAATAACAGTCACTTAACCAGTAGGAAATTGCTGCTAAGGAACGTGGATATCCTTATATTAAATACAAATAGAGAAGAACAACCTGAGGTATTCCAAAGAAAGTTCATCGGTTTCTTAAAAGCAAATAGACCCCAAGTAAGTACCTAAAACCGCCACGATGCTCTGATCACCTGTCGAAGTTGGAAGGATGAGGAGAGCTGTAACCAGGAAAACGGGCAGGTGATGCTCGAGAGGTCTCGGCGAGAGAAGGGGAGCCGGGAGGGAGGAATAGGGCTCCCACCTTCGGAGTTGCCGAGGGGGAGCCGCCTTCACCCCCGGCCTGCGTCGCCTCACTGTCGCCCCCCGGCAGCCCAGGGACAGCACCCGCCGCCCGGAGGACTCTCCTCG